TATTTAATTCTGAATCTACGTCAACGGGGCCCTCATTTGCTTCATGGTGTGTGCGTAAATATTTGTCAGACGGCGTTCAATAATAATTATGTCATTGCAAAAAGAACAAAAAGAGAAGAGAAAAAGAAAGAGAAATGCGTGTTTGAACGAACAAAAGCAGTGAGGGGCAAGGAAATGGGTTGAGTAATTTGATTGAAAGCTCTGCCCGTAAGTATATGCCAGCCTCACGTAAGAACTTTATTATGACATAATCAAATTCTGAATACAGACAGAAAACACTTCAAAGTAGGTCCATATTCTCGTAATCGATGAAAAGGTCACGCATTTGCAAGAAGCTGTATATGTTGGCATAATGTCACAGGTTTACACAAGTCTTCACAATGACCATCTTTGCAGGGATGGTAACCGTTAATAAATACATAAACATACATGCCAACGTTCGCTCGTACCCCCGCCCTGCAAACAGGACGCTGGGATATGCAGATGAATTCACGCTCTGATTGGATAGATTTTGCGTGACCATCACGGCCATGCATGACTCTGCAAGGTTTTAAACGGCCGTTAAGACTGACTGACTCGTTTCTCTTTTATTCCAATTCATAGATGCTTCTTTTTTTTTCGTTGAAAAGTGTAATAATGTAGGAAAATCTGCAAAACTTATCTGTGTTGTAAATTTGTAATTCTCGTCACTTGCTCAGGCTCCATTTCGAATTCACGAACGGTCAATGAATGCATTTTGCGGTGCTCAAAATTTGTCCACATTGTCCGCAATGAAAAAGAAATCACATCCGGTATGGAATGTGTGCATTTCTATGAGAAAGTTTTTGGATAGCATTTACGCACATTGGCTGACTGTGGTCTTGAAAAGCTGCAGCCAGATGCTTTATACATAGGTCATGATAAATTACCCAGGATGCTATCCCCATTTCCTTCACAAGATTCTGTGAAGCGAGCAGCGTATCCTAGCGCTCTGTTTGCAGGGTGAGGGGTACAAATTAAATGCCAATGTGCAATTTTCCCACCTACCCAAGAAAGCAAAATCTCCCGATTTTACTCATTTACACACATTCAAATTGGAAGTGCCAAGACAAAACTACACATGTAGGCCTACATGATTGAATACATTTGTAATGGAAAGGTGAATAACACGATTCACAGGTATCCATTGCTGATATTCTATTTCACATAGAAACTGCAAAATGAAACCCTTAAGACTTTGTGAGGAGCTATTTCCATGGAAAATCAAACTCGAGATGGGCATGACCTTTCTCACAAGGAACATATACTGTGAAATCCAAGAGCCTATTACACGCCTGGATAAGGAACAGAAAGGATGACCGAACCACAAGCATCCTTCAAGTCCAGACAAGCCTGAAAGACCTTTGTCACTTACAGGTAACAGCAATGTCAGTAACTGTATATTGTTGTTTCACTGCATGTAACTTCCTGTGTTTTACAAAGGCTTTTTGTCATTTAAGCCGGAATCATCGAAAGAAGATTCGTTCTTTAATTGAATTCTGATCGCCTGAACATGGCTTTCCCAGAATGAATGACCCTTGTCAAGTTCAATCAATTGCCTTAGGGAGTTCCTACAGAGCGGGCCAACGACACACAGTCTGAGTCAAAGTCTCAAGGTGCACAAGTCTGATCTCTGTGGGAGGATATTCAACCTCGTTTCCATGGGTATGATCTTGCGGCGCCATGTTGTTTCCCATCATGCCTTGCGCGATCTTAACCCCTGGATTTGTCTAATTTAAATGTGTCAAAGTATGACACATTTAAATTAAGAGTGCAGTTGTTGTACTTGGATGCCATCTTTAAAATGTTGAAAGTTGTGTTTTCATAGGATCAATCCTTTCAAACATACATGTAAGGTTTCGATGTTGTGTTATTTAGCAAGGATTTGTAATAAATGTACATACCTCCGTGCCGGCTTAGTATCATTTAAGAAAGCCAGTTCCGGCCAAATATCCAGTATCAACGTGGCATACCATTAGAAAGCTTTTGTTCTACCATACAAGATGTCATTAATTTTTTTTTAAGTCCAACTTTATGTTCATTTCGTGGTGTAATGTAGAAATGTGCAATTTCATAATCTGAACCTGAAATAAAACAAGCTTACGAAAAGTACATTGTACTCTATGTATGACCAGGGATACAATACAATGTAATAAAGGGGTGCAAGTATGCTATCGATAAGATTCTACTTTAAAGTCTTGGTAGCAATGTAATCCGGTGGACATGATGGAACTTGATCTCACTCAAACATCAAAAACATGCCGCAAACTGCATTCCAAGTTTGAGTAATTGACCAGTCAGGGGGATCAATGAGTGCAAGTTTCATTTTGATTCCCGGGACGGAAAGTCCGGTCGTGATCCCGTCCCTGCTGTTCTGATGAACTTATTTGCTCGTGGGCAGAAGGATTTTCATTCTTACAAATGTACGTGTGCTCGACTGTCCTGTACTGTAAGCGTAACTGTTACAATTACAAGTCCTGTAACTGTCTTGACGGATTGCGCGCACGGATCACATTGCATGGGGCAAGCGTTCCACAGGAAATGAGTTTCTTAGCCTGAGGGTACGAGAATAGAATGCGTGTTTATCTGTTTTCAGTTCTGGTCCTTAGGTAAAGAAACACTACTGTAGCTCTTCTTCTAGATTTCAAGAACAGAACTCTCTTGAGTAAACAAAAAAGTAATCACGATTCACTATCTGTTACGACATGGGGGGAAAAACATGGTGTGCATGTACATTACATGTATACCAAGCAAATATCAATGATTACCTAAGAACTTGCTAATAGAGAACTCTGACTCACAAAACACTGCTGAATATCACTGCAAGACACAAAAATAGGTTTGATGTCACAAGAGGGCGCCATCAAGGCAAAGAGGGCATTTTCAGGAGAGACAGGCAACTTAAGAATGAGGGCAGTATACACTTTATCCTAAGAAGCTAACACACAAGAATCATTGTGACAGTATTGGGGTTTTGCTGTACATGACCTACCGGTATCGTACTAGATAAGACACATGTATGTTAACGGGACGTTGCAGTCGTGTAACCAGGGTTTTGTTCGCCCGTTGCAAAATAGAAGTTTCGTCTCACTTATAAATCCACAGACTGTCTGTGGTAAAAGGTGCCCAGGATTTGCTCCGACCATTCGCCCTCTGCAAAATGGAAAGGGGGGGGGGGGGGGGGGTGGAGGTGTGTGCATCATCATCAGATAGGGTGCACTGTTACAAGGAGACAATGCTGGACAACAGCAGGGTTGAAATAGATACTTAATACTCAATTTTTAGATGGTGTGACTCTGTAGAGGGCATTCTTTTACGAACACGGATCACACTACTTCAAATAGCTGACAGAGATACAAAAATGTAGAATCCAACATAGCCTTCACTGTCATTACCTTAACCACTTGCTGCCGGGATTATTTTTGGCCGAAAAACACCATTTTTGAAAAAGACAATTTTTTTAAATTAAGTCAAATGCCACACATACTGACTCTTGAGAGTCATTTGTGCAATATTTGTATGAAACTTCTCACCATAACTTAATATTATGCAACACTCTGAGGCCTCGCCACGGAGCAATCTTTGCTACGACGACAGGCCGTGTACAATAGCCAAGTTCAAGTTCAAAACAGGGTGTGTACAAAAAACAATGGGAACCACTTGCTGACGTGTATACAGGTCCACCGCCCGAGACTACATGTAGGGGAAAGCTGGATGATTTAACTGATCTCCTGCCCCTGTGAAATGTGATGCGTTCTTACAAAATGAGATGGAATTGGGCACAGATCGTAGTGAAGATAAAAACTTGACTTTTTTTCAATTTTCAGATTTATTGACATATGTTATCTTTCATATGTCTACTACATTTGTTTTTAAGGAATAGTACAAAAATCGCAGGGTATAAACATCTTTAAGGAAAAACAATAGGCATCTTTCATTTTCACGAATACAAAACTCAAAACTTAAAGGCCTTTTTCTCTATTTTACTTTGTTGACATGTCGATAAATGCAAACTTTAAACAGCCGTAACTTGTCAATGGAATGTCCAATTGAAGTGCAGCAATGTTGTATGAAAAACGTTATTCTCTTTGGTGCGATGCGATGCGAGGGCGCAGACTAATTGCTACACCATCTCGGGACTTGGTCACCGCCTTCCACTCTTCCTTATCCAACATTAGGGTCCTCATCTCCCCCGTGTCACTTACACTCAAAAACCCTCATTTCGACCTTTACCCACATCTGTATCATTTTGCCTATCACGTTTACATTGCCAGATAGTGAGTACCACATCCTTCGGCGTTAGCTGGTGTAAAATATGAAGTGATTAGGTCAAAATGGACTCCGTGTATGAACATTAGATGGCTCTTCGTTACCACTGACAACTGACTGGAAACCACACCTATCACATGTGATCCTGAAATGAAACTAGTTTCTATATGCACCTTTGCTGAACTGCCTTTCCTGTAGTCTGATTGGCCTACTTCTTCCGCACACTCATGCATCATGCACAAACATTACCAGCACGTTGTCGTAAAAGTTGGTACCTCCATACTGTCTTAACTTGTTCTTTAAATTGGAACTTGCGGTCGCGGGCGAAGTTAATTGAGCGTGATGGGGAGCAATAAATAACCGTCTGATATCTTCTACACAAACCCCGGTGTAGGGGGTTTTGTGTAGAAATGTTAAGATACCAACTTTTACAACAATGTGTTGGTGATGAAAGTATACGTACAAATGCACGTAAATAGGCGTCTTCGCTTAAGCACCAGATGCCATCAGCAATGGGTTCAATGGTCTCTTCCAGTGAACCCTACCAGCTTTCTCTCTCACGGTTACCGTTGAGGGGGTACTTGTGCATGCAGTTAAAAGCATGTTCATTAAATTTGAGCAGGGTACCAAACCTGAAACAGGGCTGCATGAGCATGTTTTGCCCTCCATAAAACCCCTAGTGGGAAACATGTGACATTCATCTAAGGTCTTACCATTGTGATGTCTGTGGCCTTTGCTCCGTCCGTTCTTGGACTGTCTGTTTGGTGGACTACTAGTCTCGGACTTGGAGGGGATGGCCCGTACGCTGTCCATATCACTGGTGACATCGTCTTCTGTATCTCCATCTGCAATGAGAATGATTCAGACGCAATGCTACAGAGAAAATTCTTGCAATCTATAAACTTGAAAATGCCCCTGAACGACGACACTGAAAAAGTGGGAAACCGTCAATGTAGGGCAGAATAGCTCAGTTGGTAGAGCACCGGTATGGTGTACTGGATGTCTCAGGTTCAGATCCCTCTCATGTCAAATCGTTTTTCAACTTTATGATTACCAACTATTACTTGGGAGTTCTGTGGCCCAATTGTCTAGAGAATAAAATTTAAGATTTTGTCGGTAATTCTGCAAATCTTGGGCTTGAGTCCAGCCTGCAAAACAAGAAATGCAATTGTCCTTGGGCAAGACACTTTTCCAGTACTACTTCTCTCCGTCAAGGAGAGAATAGGCACCGGTACCTGTCAGGATTTCTTACATGGCTAATATGCTTGAACGTGAATTTGATATTTGTGAATTGGCTGTATTCAAGCTAATGCGAGCGTGTGAGATATTCTCTGAATTTCTCGGTGAATAGTGCCAAAGTTCTCATGACTCGCTTTAATTTAATCTTGTTGGTTGTGCCCTCTACAACCGCGGCAGCTATAGACCACAGCTTCCAGGGATCGGACCGGTTGTATTAAGACCGGTTCATACTTCATGCGAATGCGAATGCGTTGCCAATTTGACGTCACGAAGCATTTGCTGCGAAATTTGCCAGAGTTGAAATGTGCTCAACGTCTGCGAATTCGCAGCGTGAATACTCCCCCTGACGTCACAAATTCGCGTTCGCGATTGCGCTGAGTATGAACCAGCCTTAAGGGAGATAAAACTCTGAATCCATTCACTGACCAAGAGTATGCTGATCTTTGGTGCCCCTTAAAACATTCCCACATATTCAATATTGTAAAAGTGGGTTTTGCCAGTGGACAGGCTGCTTGATTAACCAGTTCGTGCTGGGATTATTTTGACAAGAACTGAACGAGGCGCAGGATTAATTTTCACTCAACCTCAAGCCAGGCAGGTTGTAGCCATGACCCTCGGGCAGCACATTCATATTTCCGGCCTCGCTCCCTGCGAGCGGGTCGCTGACAGATATTTCTGGCCTCGCTCCCTGCATGTTTATCCGTCATCCTTTCCGAATACCGCAAAACATTTGCGTGTGTACACGTCATCCGGCACGAACTGGTTAAGGGTGAACTGGTTAAGGGTGAAACCTGGCTCCTAAAGAATAAAAGTTCCGGGGATGAAGCGAGCTGCAAAACCCAGGGGCTGGAGTTATTGCAACCCTTAAACTGTACTATTCTTTTACCTTTTTTAGAATGTCGCATTTTCTCTATCTTCTTCTTCCTAAGAATTTTTTGAAATTTCCTCTCCACTTCCTCCATTTGCAAAGGATCCAGATCGCTCTGGTCTCCAAACTCATTGAAAACTCGAACCTCTGGACCTACAGATGCGAAAATAAGAAGTTGACACTGCAAACTTCAACACAGTGATATTTCCAAAGCAAATGTGGATTGAATTTGGTATTGCTTGGGTTTTCATCAGGCGTAAAAATATAGGGACAACCTCAGCTTGTCATCAATGTAAATGTAAAGATTTCAAACTTGGACTGTTTTTATTTTCTACATTTTAGCTGAGCTGATATTTGAGCGAGTCAGTTTGTTATTGTCCTGGCTTAATATTTTTGGAGCCAGTGCTCCGTAATCAAAAAAAACAAAACTTCCCTGTTGGCATTAAAGGCTAAGCATTTGTATAAGGTGTTAGATTTTTTTCAAGTTGACTCCTTCTAATGTTGGCAAGAATTATCAAGAGGCATCATCATCATGTCAGCGTCTGGAGTTCTGTAATTTGTGAGGTGCAGTCAACTTGCATTTCTGCTGCTCTTTTGGTATTGTGAACCTCACAAGAATGAATCTCGTGAGGCTCTCCATCTATAAAGATGGCAAGAGTAGTATATCCCACTTCTAGTACAAAAGGAAACAATATAGTCGACTCATAACTGATTGCTTTTCTTATATCCTGCAACCATTTGATGCAATGTACTTGTCTTGACTTGCAACATCTGTGCTGCATCCCTTATGAGATGTTTGCCTCACACATTGCTTTACCCAGACCTATCGCCAAGAGGGGGGGGGGGGGGGGGGGGGGGGGCCATTGGTTCCTCCATCAGCAAACACCATACATGTGTATTTATGTAGATTTTAATGCAGTGTGCCCCCTAGTTGGTACTATATGGCCCCCCTTAATGTTCGGACTGGCGACGGAGCTGCCTTTACATGTACCTCAATTACCTCAATTTGTCAATTACCATGATTACCTCACAAGGTGGCAAGTGCTGCACCTCACATACAAACTTAGATTGATACCTTCCTCACTCATCCTGAACTTTTTGATGTACCCTGCCCTTCTCGGCTTACAACAGACTGCATCTCAGCTACACCTTGTGAAATGTGAACCTCACAAGTGCTTAATCTTGCGAGGTTCTCCAATTACCTAACACAAGGTGGCTATAATGCTTGCCTCACATGCATTGAACAAACTTATATTGGCTAAATTTCTTTTGATTTACCTTTCTGTCTCGACTCACAGCATCTCAGCGTCTACTTGTTTAGGTGTGAACCTCACAAGCTTTAAAACCTGATGAGGTTCCTAACCTCACTACACATGTACAAGATCAGTACAAAACGATCGACTGTGATACCTTTCCTCAAAGCCTCCTGAAACTTCTCGTGCACCATGCCCGTCTCGACAGACTCCAGGTCGCTGGCGATGGTCACCTGGTCGAAACTCTTGACCGGCACTCCGGCCACCTGCTTGACCATCAGGGAACGGAAGCGCTGCTCATATTCCTCAGTCTGGATAGACTCGGGGTCACTCTGGACATTGGGGGCATGTCTGCTCCTGGGGATATTGCTGAAATTTGCATATTTTGGAGAGTTGTGCTGATCTGGTAAAAAAAAAATACAAAACAAACTTCTCTTGGTGGCTTTCAAAACTTCTGCAAGCTATTTGTTATAACAAACAAACTAGATGTTTATACAGAATTTGAACATCTTTCCAATTTTCTTAAAAATAATTGAAACCCTGCATGGTGGAAAATAACTTGTGGAAGGTTTGATGTAGCACCCTTCACAAATTTTTCTTTTAAGTAGTAAGGAGACAGTTCTGAGTAAAGCGGCAGTGCTTCTCCGACCATCTTCCTATCAATCAAAAAAAACCCACATCTTTCTACAGTCTCAAAAAAGCACTAAGCTCAATTTTTAGAGTGTCTTCTCTTCTCAAATTCTCTTTGTAATGGTATAAACTGATGAGAAAAGTTCCCAATGTAATGGTAGTTAAACAGGCATGCAACTTGAAAGAAAGAAAAAACGAGGAAACTCCAATCTTTACAAGACTTTGTACAGTGATTTTCAATTTTGAATGGCAAGGTGTGAAGTGCAAAACGAGGAAATCAGCTGATCCGAGGAAAAGTTGCATGCCTGGTTAAGAAATGATTTAATGGTATGTCACATGGATAAGTAACCACGATGACAAACCATGAAGAAATTCTGTCAAATGTTAGTTCAATATTGCCAACTTGACTGCAATAAAATACATGATACACTCAAAATGATGGTAGTGCGGTAAATCTATGCACGAGATGATGGCTGCTTAAAACTGCCAATGGGAGCTCCTAAACGGCAAATTTCTGCATGAAAAATGTTATTATGATCAGTGAAAGCGATGCGATAGATCCTTATCACACAAGTAGCCATCTGCCTAGCTCGAGGCAAGACAGATTCCAAGTGCTGATATTTCTTAATATAGAGCGTGGCAAGCAAGCCAGGGTAATTCTCTACCATGGTTGCCATGCCTAAAGGACTTATTTTTTAAAAAAACCGGACAGCTGCATATGATGCGAAATGATATGCTTAATGATCAGCTTAAAACAACAAGTTTGGTTAAAACTGAGAGGGAACATGTAAACGTGTGTGTTTAACTCACACTGTTAAGATCAAAAACTGGTTTTAAAGGCATACAGGATCGTTTGGTTTTCATTCATTTTGTTTCCAATGATAACATCACTCAAAATCCAAAGAAGAATGTTCAAAACCTAACCTGTTGAAGTTTCAAATGAGTGGCGTTACATTTTTCGAACGAACACTGAAAAACCGTGTACAACCTTTTGATCACGAAACATGATTTTGTTAATTTTACTCTTTATTTTCAACGATCCTTCAATTAACTGATTGTTGGAAATCACCTACATTTCATGATTCCTTCTAATTAAATGACGACAAGCCAGACGGAACAATTTCACGGGGTGTTTCTTAGTACAAGTACGATCTTTAATCCAAGTAACGTTTTTGATAGTAATTAAGTAAGTTACTTTTGGAGTAAATGCAAATTATCATATATGCCTTTAAGACCTCTGTTCTTACCCGTTACCCTTGCAACCTCAAAATGACCCTCATAATCCTCTGTCCTGATAGAATCTGAGCCTACGTCGCTCTCTGTTACACCTTTACGGAGGTACATGTACTCTGGAAGACCGCTGGGTTTGGAAGTTGGCAAGGTGTTTGTCCGTTTCTTCTTGCTCCTTGATTTTCCTCTTTTGCCCATCCCCGGGACTGTCAAATGGTCAGTCTTTTTCGGAGAAGCCGATGGTATTCTTTTAGCTTCATTCCTATTGGACGGATTATTGCGTGTGGTTTTCAGTGGGCTCCTGCTTGTGGTGGATGGTGGGTCATGTGTGACAATGCTTGTCTGGAAGACGTGCTCAAAATCCTCAGTTGCTATGGAGTCTGCGTCGATGCCTCGGCCAGCTCGCCGATGCTCCAGGAAGGACTTGCTATCTGGCGGCAACGATTGGTGGGTTCTTCCGTTCTCACTGGAACGTATTGCGCCTGTGGTTCGTTGAGTATTGTGATTCGTCCTTGGAAGATTTTGACTTTGGTGATTGTTGCTGAGGTTTGGTGACGATGCTTCGTCAAAAAGCGGATCGGTGGTTGAGTCGGATAAAACAAGCGAGACCATCTCTTGTATCCTCGAGGATATGTCTTGCGTTTCGTGATTGTCATCACTTTGACTTGAATCCTCAGTCCTGTTGTCGTTGGCCTCGTCTGGTACCCCACGCCGCCTGTTCCAACTCTTTGTACTGTTTGATGCTGTGGCCGAAGAAGGCAGTGACCTGTTGTGCTTTTGCAGTGCATCGTGGGTATGTGAAGGATTGTGGGAATGCTGTGAAGGCAGTGCGTCTGTATCAGAATCTGTGTGGTAGCACACACAAAAATCGGCAAAGAGAGGGAAGGGGGGATGGGTGTTAAATAAGCTGCAGTTAGAGACGTTAGCAATGCATGATATTAAATGTTACCTAAATCTTCAAAAATTTCATGGCACTGCTAAGCAAACAATTTTCTGCATATTTTTGTTCAGTTTTCTGGCGTTGTGCCCAAGTGCGCCCTCGATGGTAAGAAAGAGAGATTTGGAGGAGACCATCGGGAGGGTACTTGAAGACACTCAAGTGTGCCCATTCAGAATAAAATTAGTTGTCCCGTCCACTACAAGTCTGGCTCTTAAATAGGTCAAAGCTCAGAGCCCATGAGGACCCCCCCCCCCCGTAACTTTTTTTACTCGGCCTTAAATACGGGAATAAATGTGTGCTTGGCCAGTTTTAAATACTCTGTTTAAGACCGGTTGGAGTCTGGATGCTGATAATTACCCGAGCCATTCATAAATACCTTTTCGGTAAAAAAAAAATTCAAAACGTTTTTTGGTCCAAAAGTCAAAGCAAGTCAAAAATTATAAATTTCGAACAATTTTGTTCAACAATTTATTTTACTTCATGTTTTCGGAACACCCCTGCGCGATGTGTCGCAGAAGGCAGCTGTACCAGTGTAGTGTGAATTTAGGACTATAAAATACTGATATCACTAGTAGTATTGCGCATGCCTGTGTGAGCATTGTGAATGGACGTTCAACCAATAAAATGGTAACTAAAAGGCACCGGATTTCAATTGTTGTTTTTTGCATATAATTTCTTTGTAATTTTCTGTAACTGTTTAAGCTGTTTATTGTGAGGCGCTGTGATCTTTGTAGAGTGCCATACAAATGCTTGGTATTATTATTATTATTATTATAGGAGTCACACGTTCTTGTGATACTGGAAAAGTGTTTAAGACAGCCAGCCGGTCTTTATCAACCGTTTAAAACCGACCATGCGACGGGCTCTTGAATAATAGGAATGGCTAAATTGTCTTAGGTATTTATGAACGGCAGCTTTTACTACATCTACATTCAAAATGATTTTTGCAATGCATGCTTCTTTTGCAGCTTGAATTTTAGTATATTTGACCCACTAAATTTATGAGTACTGCTGCGGCAACTAGTAATTATTATTGCAAGTTAGTTTATTATGCAATGAATGCTTTTTGCAGAAAAAAAAACACATCTAGCCGAGTTGTAGTCAAGGCCATCACAAGTCCATCACAAGTCAATTACAAGTCATGCTGTCCAAAGTCAAGTAACAAGCTATCCAAATGACCTGCGACAAAGGCATTTTTTTATTTTTTATTTTTTTTTATTTTTTTTTTACCGGACTTGTGAATTGACTTGAGATTCACTTGTGATTTAGATTTTTTGATGGCCTTTACTACACAGCTGTTAAGAAAGCATGATACCTTGAAGATTTAGAGTCTCCTCCATTCTCATCCTGACGTCGTCGGAACAGATGGAGTCACCGTCGCTGAATTCCACTAAAGCTTGCCGCTTGGAAACTTAGAAAATTAATACAAAAACCGTTTATTACATATGAATTAACTGTTCACTACAGAATAAGCAAGTTCAGTATCCTAAATGGGATATGTGGAAATTTTAACTTCAGAATAAACTCAAGACATCAATTTTCATGAAATCATCACGTGTGCAAGATCACACACACAGTTGAAATAGCGAGCTGGATTACATATGAAAAAGCTCCCTTGGAAAAAGTCCTCCGTCCGTTTTTTTTTCTTTCTTTTTAACCGGACAAAAAACATAAATGTTCATGTGCAATCCTAAGCAAGCAGGATTAATGTTCCAAAGACATCTTACACCTGTAACATTTGTAAGCTACATGCACTTTACATGCCCAGGGCAGGCTCATGACGTCAACATGACGTTCACAAATTTTTTTTTATCCTATTACGCCTCATAAGCTTCTGTCTGAATTTGCGTACAGGATGAGCCAGCTTAATGAGGGTGCAACACACAGTGTACAGCAATCATCTTCAGAAGTACAATGTATTTGTGACTTGAGTGCACATGCACTATCATGGTACTGGTCAGTCACCAACATTTTCCCAACATTTACTATATTCAGTGGCAGATCCGGGTGGATTCCCCCCCCCCCCCCCCCCCCCGGGAGTGACTGATAGTTTCTCATATAAGGTTATTTTTCACCTCAGAGAGACATTGACTGACTTGTACCTGCGATGGCAGGATTACAATTCCGGTGGTTCTGATGGTTCCGGCGATTAACGGTTGAAGGCTTCTGCACTAGCGTCCCTTGAAGAAAGACATTGACAAAATGGGGGACCTGGATAGCTCTATTGGCAGCACCGGAACAGCAATCCGGAGGTCACATGTTCAAACCCTGCTCCAGTCAATTTCTTTGTTCAACGTTAAAATAATTTACAAAATGTGGTATCAAGTAAGGTATTTCATAACAATTTGATAGTTTTGTTTTTTGACGTTTGCAAAATGTTGTGTATTATCTTTAATTATACAGAAAGCAAAGAACTTACCCTTTTTCTTGAAGGATCTGTTGCTGCCATTTTTTAGCTTTGTCCCTTTTCCTTCTCCATTCATATAAATTTTTCCTACAGCAGACCCGTGACGGACATGATCCCCATTGGGTATGGGGCTAGAGTCCCCCCGGTGGCTTCCTGTACCTAGACCAGTGTCTGAAGCACTGTCATCTGCAATGAGACCATAATTAAGGCAATGCTGGGTTAATTTGTTTTAATGTTTTCGTGTCATGGCCTGAATCAGCGACAGGATTTTGAATTATCTGTGCCACAATTTCGTACACAAAAAATAAACAAATTTGGATTCAAATCCTGATCACATCACTTAAAATTCAACATCTTCAAGGGCGGATCTAGAGAGATTACTGGCAGGGGGCGCCCCCTTTGCACCCCCTGGATCCACCACTGATCTTATAACACATCACTGCATGCACCATTTGTAAGATAATGCTGAATGAAAGATAATGTCGAATGCGATGTAAATTGAGTTTGGGTTGGATTTTGTCCACAGATATATTTTACAATGTATGTTAAAAGTTCTAAAATTCTCAATACTCTTTAAGAGTTGGTGATAAGAAAAAGTTAAGATTCTGTAAGTGGGATGTTTAGTACAGTGAAATCTCGATAAGACAAATCTCAAGGGAAGACGTTCAAGTTAAGCAAAGTTTCCGATTTTCTACGATCACGTTTATGCATGTACATGAATGTCTTTCACCATAACTTGCTATGCCTGGCTATGAAATGGACACATTGTTTGGCCCCACCGTCATTCCTTCTTTCTATTGATTTTAATGATGTATTTTTTCAAACACAAATCATCACTTTGCTCAGATTTTATATTTTTATTAATCTAAAAGTGTCTGCTCTATGGATAAATATAACAATAAACCACAAATATTGTGTTACTTCATGTAGCAAGACGTTCTTTGGTGTTGTTTGTTGATGTTTAGTCTTAGCGATCACGTGAAGCATCGAACCACCACGCTCGGGGTTTTCCGATGGGTGGCCTCATGATCGGTCCTATTTGATCAAAAGAGAGCATGCTGGGCCAGCGGTAGAAATCAGGCTAACTCGAAAGCCAGGCGCGCGTTTCCAATGCAGTCACTTGTCCACTGCAAAGAGCCAGCGATTGGACCGCCGGCATGTGGGCTGCAACTGGGCCAGCGGTAGCGATCAGACTAACTGGAAGGCCAGGATTTGTTGCAGTTACAGGCTGGAGTCCGCTCACAATAGCACCGTGTACGCTACCTCCCCATGTGAAAAGACGAATTTGTGGACTGGCCCAACAACAAGTTAAACAGGCGTACCGATGCGGGTATTTCGAGTTACGGGGGTATTCACATAATAATATCCTATCCTGTTGACAGGCTTGAAATATCACTTTGAGATATTCCAGTTAGCCGAGTTTGCATTATCGAGATAGTACTGTACTCTCTAATTACAAGATGACATGTACCGGTACCTTCGAGCGTTTCATCAGCTGTTGCATTGTTGCTGGACTCTGGTCCCTGTCTTGTCAATGTGGAGGCCTTCTGACTGTGCCTACTGGTTCCAGAACTGCTGCTGTTACCATGGTAGCTGTGCTCGCTGTGCTCACTATTAAGGCTCTGATTTGAGATGAAAATCAGAATTTTCAATTACAAACATACTGTAAGATTAAAAGAGTTGTGGTAAGAAAAGTTACTAATGAGCTTAACTTTTTTTATTATAGAGGATGGAACTAACAAAGACATGGGGAAACCCACTTGCAACTTTTGAAAAGGGAAATAATTGAATCATGTTCTTTTGATAATTGAATCAAAATAGTGGACGTTTGACAGTGCTCTGAAAAATTCTCTTCTTATAAAGTAATCTCACAATTTTTTGATTAACAAGAAAACTCTTCTAAATATGATAGATATCAGTAAGTCAACTGACTATTATCTCAACCAAAACAGTGTTAAAACCTAGTATTACTCAGGCATACAACTGGAAATTTGAAGAAAAAAACGAGGACATTCCTAATCACACAAGACTTTGTACAGCGTTTTTCAATTTGTAATGGCATTCATGAGAAGTAAAAAACGAGGAAACCAGCAGATCCGAGGAAAAGTTGCATGCCTGATTACTCTGCAGAAGCTGTCTTTTTTCCTAGATTACTGTTGCCACACACGTTGCTCTCTCAAACAGTGAGTCCGAAAAGCTTACATGTATCGTAATATTTTATATATTCTGCAACTGGTTTTCATCACAATAGCTCACCCTGTTGATGATGTCGTTCAGTTCTGCATCTATATTATCCAGTATCAGATCCACATGGTGCATGTTGATTACTGTCTGTTGCTTCTCGTTCACCACTGGTTCCCCGCCTCCCATGGTCTCCCCAGAATCCTCAAGTCTCCCCTCTGGTGGTCCTTCTGCCTCATCTCCACCCACAACCTCCGGATGATGATGCTCTGATGAGTTGTAGCTGATATCATCTTCTTCTTCTCCCTCTGTGGATTGGTCGTGGTTGTCCGGAAGTCCGTCAAGGTCCACCGCGTTGCCGTTTTCGGTTTGGTCTTTGTACTTCATGTTGTGCTCTTCTGTGCGATGGCCTGCATCTTCAAAGCTCTCAAACTCGCCCTCTGACATCCCTGACTGGGAGTCTAAAAGAGTACCAGAGAGCAACAGTAAGGACCCCATTTTTTTATAACACCACTGTACATGTACCGGGTACGTCAATATTAACTTACATTTGTACAGACATTGCATGTAAATGTTAGCACCATAGAATTAAAAACTTAAATGCCAGGGGATGAAAACTCAAGACTATGCATAAAAAACCTATAGACCCTTTTAAACAATATGGCTCTAATTCCTACCCTCTGTTTGCCTGTACCCAAAGATGATGTCTTACTCTGTCCTGCCCACACACACAGTAATAAGGGCCAGGCTAGACATCCATCAATATCAGCTAGGACAGCCGAACATAATATAATGTGATCACGGGCGCATATGGCCTGCAGGGTCTCATAGTTGTAATTGAATGTCAAGCCATGAGTCAACCACGAGTCAATCACAATTAAGTCAAGTAACAAGCCACGTCACAAGTACATTATACAAGCCAAAGCAATTGTTCATTCGTTTATAAATTTGTTTATTTGTTCAATTCAAACAACATCCAACAGCGCATGAGCACCAGAGACGGAAAGATGAAATATACAAGTACAATAAAAAACTTATAAAAACATCTGAACAGCTCATCACTTAACTGACTAGACTGAATGACTTGCCAAACAGTGTGTCTAACTTGTGATAACTTGATTAAAAGTCAGCCCTGTTTTCCAGAGAAAAGGCCAGTTTAAAGGGAATGTACAACATTTACTTTTGCAGCAAGTTTCAGAAATAAATGGATTTGGAGGATTAGTATGTTATAGCAAATATTGTTATTTTCTGACTTGTTTCACGTTTTGGGCTTCCAATCATGTTCTTGTAGTCTGGTTCCCTGACCCACTTAAGATTAAACGGAGAAATGTAAAGACTTTGGGGAATTGTAAGGTCAAAGAATCACTCTAGCAGGCTTGTACCCCCTTCACAGGTGTGTAATCAATTGCAAAGAAAGTGCGGAATAACAAACTGAAAAGTTAGGAGCAGTTTTGGAAAAAAGCCAGTTTGTTTCCAACGCTGGTCGGCCGACCAGCGTTGGAAAAATACAGTTTTTCGTAAAAATGTCAGCACACCAGGAGCCACAATTTTACAGGATGCTTTAGACTGTCAATCCCCAACAATTCAGTAAGGTATTTTGTGATTATTTGATCATTTCGTTTTTTGATGTTTGCAAATGTTGTATCATCCCTTTAACCCCGATTCAGGCCTCCTTCCCAAAGCCTAATAGTTTGCTAGTTCATGATCACCTGGCTCTGTGAGATCTGACTCCCTGCTCAGGTCCTGATCACTCCATGACCCGTTCATCCTGTCACCTCTGACCCCTCAGCAATGTCACTCTTCGCTTACAGCTACAGGTTCATTGTCTCATCTCCCTGCAGAAAAATATAACAACGCAATAGACGTTATGCATTGTCTACATGCACGAGTACACCTTGATGGTTCACTAAGAAGAAGTTAGAAGGAAAACGAAGGAGGACTCTTTAACGCATTGCCGATGGTGCATGACACTCGCGCAAAGACGATAAGGGTTGGTGCAGATCCAGAATAAAATCAATTGTGCATACTACATGCCATACATGCCCCATTTGTGCATGCCGTGCATCTCCCTACTATTGTAAGCTCTTGTGAGTGGTGACGATGCACCTTGTACTGTTCAAGCTGCAAGTCCACTTTTGCATTTTGTGGTCAATTAAACCCCTTCTTAATTGAACATGAAAATGTTGGGGGAAAAACACCAAAGCGCTGTCTGAAGGAAATGCGTCAGTGAAACATCACTTGACATGCTTGAGTAGAAAGGTCATGCTTAATGACAAGTCATCAGGAATCCCAATAATCAATCACAACCACAAGTCAACTACCGGTACATAAAGTCAAGTGATAGCTATTCAAATAAACTGTGAAAATTGTTCGTCCTCTAGCTGTCACTAATAGACCTTTATCATGCTGCCACCATTTCAGTCATGTTCCCTGTATCCAATAACAGTACTGAATGATAATGTTGTTTGTGCAAAAGGAACCACACTACTTTGTTCCTTCCAGCTTCGCTTTGGTTACGTTGATTTGAATGGGAAAAAATCAGGATGACCGCAATGTGATAATGGTCTATTTTGTGACATGCACTGTGACTGGCAAAAAGATGTCGATTTTCTCATACAATTGGGTTTTGCCCGTCATTGACGTATTTTTACAAACACAGTGTATACTCAGTGTTGTCAGAGTGCTCATGAGGAAAAATTCACAAGCTACTTGGGTGGGACTCAAACCCACGACCTTCTGCCTGCCAGTGCAGATGTCCTACCACTCGACCAAGCTTGTGGGTACCGCAGCCAAACTAATCATAAATGAAATTCTGCTTCGGAAGATGTAAATTCAATTGGGTTTTGCCCGTCACCGATGTGTTTTTATAAAAACTGTATATACAATGTTTATAAAAAACTGCATTGGATGCATCCATTAAATTTGCTGACAATCACTCTCATTTTCAAATGTCACCCAACATAATTTGATTACGAGATCTGCATTAAACATGGAACAGCACACAGAATAATTTGATTATTATGTAGTAGGGGTAACGTTACATGTTCATCCAAAACGCCTGAATAAATTCCCATCATCTGTTGGTGGGTCCTTGATCACATGTCATTGAATTATTCGTCCCAACCCATGGCCCAGCTGCACTGCAAAAATAGAAGTTCCATTGCACAGTCACACTAATGGTGGTTATGTCCAATCAGATGACGAGGATTTATTCAGGTGTTGTATAAAACAAATAATGAATGTTTCACATTCGTGCAATGGAAAAAAAAAATTTCATTCAGTGACAGATGGAATGTTCCATTACATTCGGCTTCATCTCGTTGAATGGAACATTTCATATGTCATTTCATGAAATTATTTTTACCATTGCACTCAAAAACATTCATTATTTGTTTTTATATACCGACATACATATCCTTGTCATTTGATTGGTGGAACTCATATCACGTGACATTCGTTATTGCTCCCATTCACGCCGCGGCTCAAAAAGTACTATCCGCCGATGGGGAATGGGAAATACTATTGAACAGTTAGGATAATTCTTGTTCCATGATGCGGTATTTGTGTGCAAATGCATGCTGGTGTGCGCGTTCAGCGTTGCGCGTATTGTTCCAAAGAGCCAGGGCTACAGCGTTGGGTTCATACATTTTCGTGAAGGGGTGGTTTGGAAGAGAGAAATACATTTTCCTCCAGTTTTTATTGAAATAAAAGTTCAAATATATCAAATGACAAGGATATGTCAGTTATATAAAACAAATATTGAGTGGTTTTAAAGGGAATATACATCATTTGCTTTTGCTGTAATTTTCATAAATGGATGGAATTGGGGGGTTGGAAATATATAGCAAATATAGTTACACTGACTTTTTTGAGGTTTTGTGTTTGAAAATGCTATAAAAACCAAGAAAAACGATCATTTTCCTGTAGTCTGGTTCCCTGACTCCATATAAGAAGAAACAGAGCCTTTAACATACATTGGGGAATTGTAAGGTCAGGGAACCAGTCTAGCTGGCTCGTACCCGTTCATAGGTTTGTAATCGATTGCAAACAAGTGTGATGGTCAATTGGGGCCAGTATTTGAAAAAAAAGCCAGTTGTTTCCAACGCTGATCGGCCGATCAGCGTTGGAAATTGATACAAAAATACCACTTTTCTTGAAAATGACAGTATACCAGGTGCCATGATTTTACAGGATGCTTTACACTGTCATTCACTAACAGTCCAGCAAGGTATTTCAAAATGATTTGGTAGTTTTATTTTTTGATGTTTGCAAATGTTGTATTTTCCCTTTAAATTGTGAAACGGGAGGAAAATTATTGCTCGGTAAAATCTGGACTTTTTCAGTTCACTCGGCTTGCCTCGTGAAATGGAAAAGTCCAGATTTTACCTTGCGATAATATCCTCCCATTTCACTCTGAGCCACTCAATATTTGTATAATAGTCAACACTTTTCAAGATGATTTTCAACTAACTTTTATAAACATATTTTGCAGTGACAGCATGCTGTCTCATTCCAAACAACCACAGACAGATCCTTTCAAAATAAAACGACCAATATGAAGTGCTTGTAGAAAAAACAAACAACGGGAATGGAAAGGATGACAACGATCACTTAAATGGAGATCTTCCCTTCACTTGTCCTAATTGGTTAATGAGCCATGGTACTGTGAACAGCCATCCTCTTTTTAACCGGACCTCCGGGGAAAACGAGCCCCATCTCATCCCTGTCTGAGTTGATTACAGGTGGAGTGATGAGGTCACATCGCTTCAATAACAGGATTTGCCACTGATATGGCCCAATTAATAGGGGCACGGCAACGTACATGTAGTGCGCTGAATTCACAAAACGTTCCTCAAAGTGCACACACACATGCAGGTGCTATAGCTGAACTCTCATAATGGTAAGCAGATCGAAGCCCGTTATTAAAGAGTCCCATCTTCTTTTTTCCAAATAGGGGTGATTCTGATGAATCAAGCTGGATTGCCCCACAAAATGAAAGCAAAGTAGTTTCCAATTCTGCCTGATCTACCGTCCCTTCCTTTTCCACCTGCTTCACATAATGTCTTGTTTCACACCGACGTGTGAACAATTAGAATCTTTCAGATTTTCAAATGAACTATATCAATATTAATATGCATACATTATACGTTGATGAACTTTGACCTTGAATAAATTATGTGTGCTCTATAGTTCCATGAAATGACAATGATGAATAGTCTTCATGAAGGCTCGTGATTAACCTCCCGATAATAATTATTTGTAGAGTACCCAATCTTGAAACATGGTGGCTCTGGTGGGATTCTGACTCAAGTTACATTGTTTTGAAAAGTTGAACAAAGAAATTGAGTGAAGTGGGATGTACCCCTCTGGATTGCAATTCTGGCAATCAGATTTTGTTTTACCAGAGAAGTTGTGTGAAGTATTCTTACAGAGTTCATAAATGTTTATTTCCTTTTTTTTTAATCTCAATGTTTTAGATGCGCTGAGCACATTTGCGTTCCTTCCTCCATGCTTCAAATAAACTGCACAAACACAAGTAGGACAAAAGCCACATGTTGGTAACTTTAATGTTGAACATATGTACACATGAAATATATTGTTTGCAAGCCCAACATAAATGTATGTACACTATGGGCCAAAAAGAAGAACGATTTCTAGCGAGTGAGTTTTCACATACGTACATGTTCACTGAATACATGCTGGACACCAAGAGGTTTATAAAAGTCAAACCCTTGCTGTACTGGGACTGCGTCAACATGCGATCAATTGCTGACACTGAAAGTAAGGTAAATATTACATGTACTGTATTAAAGGGTGCAGACCTGCAAATCGACTCCCACAGACCTGCAGTGATAATTATGCGCACTTCCGAAAATTATTAAAAATACTCACAATTCCAAGGTGCTTGAGACACCCATCAAATGAAAGCATATTTCATAATCTTTCATTTTCTGTTCAATTTTTTTTTAGTCGTCCATGACGTTTGGAAGAAAATTCTATCCAAAGATGATCACCCAGAAAAGTAGTCCTGTGGCCTATCGCCACTTCCAAAAATGATGCCTGCACTCCATTGCAAAATAGAGCAATTTTAGGGCCCAATTTCATGCGAATTACACAGAAATAGAAGCTCACACTCTGTGCACGGCTTCCACCCATCTTGTTTACAAACCTTCACTTTCATGGCCCTCAAAATGCTCCAACAGCAAAGAATTTTGAGGGCATACAAATTGTGATTTGGTCAACATCGAAAATTCTGGGCCTATTTACAGGTATACACCCATAAGGGCAACTCATTTCTCCAATTTGCAGATGGCGCTAAACACCAGTTGTAACAGAATCTGACAAAGTTTCCATTTTTATTGACACTTTTTCCCTCTAATTACTTACATTTACTTGTTAATAGAGCCTAGAATTATGCTAGCCACAATATGCTGTTGAAGGAAGTTTCATTTCATTGTACATGTAGATAAGACATTGTATGTGTTTGGTGAACTGGCCTAGGTACTTGCTGCACACACTGGGTTGTTTATGTGCACAGCCATCTTTGTTATTGTTCAGTACATGTGCATTCTTAAGGAGGCAGCCATGTTTGTTTGGTCATGTGATCAAAGTTTTCTACATGTAAAATAGTCCAAACATTAAGTGAGAGGTCTTTTTTGATATTGTGATACTTTAGTTTGATTGTAATTTAGTTTTTGTTGTAGACTATAGTAACTTTGAGGAAAATTGTGCAACTTTTACTTTTCCCATAATGCTTTGCTTCTTGCACATGGCCTGATTCTCCAACAATGTGCTCAGCAGTTTGCTGCGCTGAGGATGATTCAATCCGCTTTTT